GAGCCTGTTTTGGATTCTGTGTCTCCCTCTCTCTCTCTCTCTCTTCCAAAAATAAGTAAACATAAAAAAAATATAACGATGATACAGAATAGCAGTGATATATAGAGGACCTGGGACTCCTGCGTCCCCTTCCCTCCAGGGAGCAGACGGCCTCAGCTTCCGGAGGCAGTTCCACTGTCTGTATGCATCCAAATGCCTTTAAAACGTGTCCAGTCAAGGGGCGCCTGGGTGGTGCAGTCGGTTGAGCGTCCGACTTCAGCTCAGGTCACGATCTCGCGGTCCGTGAGTTCGAGCCCCGCGTCGGGCTCTGGGCTGACGGCTCAGAGCCTGGAGCCTGTTTCCGATTCTGTGTCTCCCTCTCTCTCTGCCCCTCCCCCGTTCATGCTCTGTCTCTCTCTGTCCCAAAAATAAATAAACGTTGAAAAAAAAATTAAAAAAAAAAAAAAAGTGTCCAGTCAAGAAATCCACTTGTAGGAATTTGTCCCAAGGGGAAAATCACTGATGTTCAAGAGATGATTGATCCGTGTCCTCGGCTGTCCGTGTGGACATGGCTCCCGATGGCCAAGTGTGAAAATCCTCGACGAAGACTTACCAAACACCCACTACGTGCCAAGCACCGTGTTTGGCATTGCACGTTAGTGAGCAAAACGGGACAAAATCCCTGATGCACAGGGGTGGGTGTGACTATCAAATCCCCCACATGAGGACCCTCGTAGGGATGCAGTGTTCCATACCTTGACTGTAGGGACCCCCAAGTCCTGGCTGTGATATTGTGCTGAGGTTCTGCAAGACTGAACACACAAGCATATGCCAGCCGACCGGACACGAAAATAGAGCTCTAACCCGCCACCCTCAGGGACCAGCCCGGTGGGGGACATGACCCGGCACCTGCAGGGACCAGCCCTGCAAGTACAGCTCTCTACAGGTCAGCATGGAGGAGGTGAGACCCTCTATCTCTGGTGACAATCCAGGAAGCCACACATGAGCCCAGCAGCAAAGAGCCCAGAACGGCCGGGACTTGATCAATACCTGACAACTTCCCAGTTTAAGTCCCCCTGCTTCTGACTCAGGGCTGACCAGGGTATGTCCCCAGTGACACAGGACCCCCCCCCACCCCATCCCCAGGCCCGCAGTCCCATCAGGGACACGTGGACGCTCTCTTAGGTGCACGTTGCACGTGGCTCTACAGCGATCTCCAGTAAAAGTCCAAGTGGTAAGACCCCTGACCCGTGAAGCTCACGTCCAGTGGTGCAGACAAGCAAAGAGCATAATCGATACGTAAATGATATTAGCTGTAGGACAGCAGGGTGCTGGTTAAATAAATCATGATGTTCTTATAATAACATTCCTACGGTGGACTAGCTCAGAGCCATTAAAATGTTGTAGAAGAATATTTAATGATATCTGAAATTTTCATGATACACGTACGGCTCCCTGGAGAAGAATGAGGTTTCTCAACTCTTCAGTATGACCCCGGTCTTTAAAATCTCGTGTTTATGCGAAGGAGAGAAGGCCAGAGGGTGTATGTCAAATGCTCTCGACAGCAATCTCTTGAGTGTGGGACCGCACATGTAATTTGATTTTTGCTTTCTGAGTTTCTCTGTATCTTCCAAGTTTCCTTCAAAGAGTTGATTATCAGAAAATAAAATGTTACTAAAAAAAGCAAAACAGAAAAAGAAATACTCAGCCGAGAAACAGAATATGGGACTGCTTTTTTTTTTAAACCTAAATCACAATTTGGTTTCTCTCAAAAAAAGAGAGATTCTGAAAAATCTGCTGGGTCTGTGGTCACCACTGCACAGTCAGGTGACGGGTGCATGTCACCGGAAAACCCTGCCAAAGGTCGGAAAGGGGCCGGGTTGCTGGGGAACAGAGGAGATGGGGGTAAACCCGGGGCCTTTGGGGCCGCGGAGCTGAGTAGGGTCCAGGAGGTGGGAAGAGGCAGGAGGAATCCCTTTTCGAGAGCTTGGAGGGCCCTCTGGGGGAGGCGGCCTCCCTCCCTGTCTGGGCGTGTTCTCCACCCCAGGTGAGCTTGCCCACCCGGTGGGCACCGGGACTCTGCTGACCCGGGGGCAGGCTCTGACCTGCCACCGTCTACTCCCGACACACGAGGGCTTCTCCTTTCAAACCCTGCCTCCTACCTTGGTCTCGGCTTTCTTTCCCCGAGGCCTGCAGTGAACGCTGTGGCCTGTGGCCTCCTCCGTGTCCTTCTGTCCTGGGGTTTGGAGGGGTGAGCCCGACAGGCAGTGGCTAGTGGCCATGACCTCACTCCCTCCTGCAAGGCTCTGGCAAGGTGGGTGTTCTGGCAAACCTCCACCAGGGAGCTCGAGGCCTTTCCTCGGGCACAGACAAGGTGCTGGGGGGTGGGGGGCTGAGACGGTGCTCCGGCAAACTGGACGGTTTGGAGCAAGAGAACTTTATTATCCCCCAGAAGTGCAAAAACAAAGTGTCGGCAGGGCGGTGCCCCTCTGAAGGTGCTGGGAACAGAGGGGGTCCTTCCTGCCTCTGCCGGCTCTGGGGGCCGCCAGCCACCCTTGGCATTGCTTGGCTCCAAGCTCTCCCCTGCCGTCATGTGGCCTCCTCCTCTGTGCCTCAGTCCTAATCTCCCCTTCTTACAAGGGACTCCAGCCCCAGTGGATCAGGACGCATCCTAATGAATTATGTCTGCAAAGATCGTGTTTCCCAAGAAGGCCACATTCCGAGCTTCCGGGGTGACCCCGGTTTGGGGGGACACCATTCCATCCGGAGCAGGGACTGGGGTGGGGCTGAGGCGGGCAGTTAAGCCGGGCAGTCGGGCTGACCCCTGGGTAACAAGGCACTGGAAGAGAGACCTTTCCAACCAATCGCCTGTGGCCTCGGGCCAAGCTGGGCTCAGGGTCAGACTGTACTCCATCCGGATCAGACCCCGGCCCTGCCGCTCCCGGGGCCTGGTTCTGAACCTCACTGAGCCTCTTGGAGCCTGGGGGTCCTCTTCTGGAAGCTGGACGTTCCTCGTGGGGTCCCGAGGGCATGTGCCGGTGCCTGGGGCGTGAGCAGGGCCGTCCCCATGCGTCTGGAGGCTGTGGCTGCCGGCCTCCAGCCGGGCGGGTCTGAGTCCACGCACAACCACGAGCCCCAGCTACCCCAAGGACAGGCCACGGCCCGGGCATGCCCTCCTCTAAGGAAGCGTTTACACCAGCAGCATCTGCGGTAACGCGGGGAGACGGTGCGTCCTTGTTCCCGGGGCCCAGAGGACGAGAAACGAAGCATCCTTCCAGGGTTTTCTGGGCGCCTCCTTGGGCCTCTCTCCCCGGTAGAAAGGCTTCCATTTTTCTTGGCGAATGAAACAGAACAACGGGATTGTATTTTCATCTACGCGGGGCCGCTGCCTGCTGCCGGGGTGGGGAGCATTTCTCACTGATCGCACCGGCAGGGAAAGGGGAGAAAGCAGAGGGTCGGCTCTTGCAAGAAATTCGTGTACAAACGCGGCCGTCCGCCTTAAAGGATTAATTTCACAAGCCTTAAATTGAAGTTTAATTTGAAAACTAATTCAGCCCCATAATTGGCTTTCTGCTCAAATCACTGAGGCTAAAGATTTAAATTCTTAATATTCAGATGACTTTCAAGTATCTGGTACCATCTGTGCATCAGTCCGTGGCATTAATCTCAGGGAGCCCTCCGCCGGCACAGAAATAAAATAAATAAATAAACGGGCCACTAATAGAATAATCTATTTAAGCAAAAACTCTGCGTTATCAAGATGAGGGTTTCTTTGACTTCATTGGCAGCGTATAGATTTCTCTGCTATTTAATATTTTAAGGCGACATTAATTTCAAAATTTATAATATAGGCCTTCACACAGTTACGAGGGGTTAGGGAAATCAGGAATTCCAATTAAAGCCTTTCTTAGTTAAAAGATAATCACCGCGGAGGCATCTTTTCTTGTGAGGGTCTCGAAGCCTGCCTCGCAGAACTGTCAGCCGAGCAGCTCCGAGCTCCAGGAAGGAGGCCCCGGGCGTGTCCTGAGCCCTGGTTAGCCTCCAGGGCTCCCGGGTAGGGGGGCTGTCGGGCTGGGGCTGGGGTTCACGGCGTCCCACCCTCACCTGGGTGCACAGCGGTGAAGAGAACAGATAGGATCTCTGCCCAGCGCTGTAAGTAAGCCAGCAACAAAGTAAGTAACTCCGTGAGTAATGGAGTATTAATGGAAAGCGGGGGGGCAGACGAGCCCCCCTCACGTGGGCTGAAGAAGCGCCATGTGAGCTGAGGGAGGAAAAGGGGCCAGTGTCACAGCGACTGGGGGCAGGACACCCAGGCTGAGGGCACAGCATGTGCAAAGGCCCCGAGGGAGGAAACTGCTTCCTTTTCCCGAAGGCCTCGGTCCAGGTGAGCATCTCGTACCACTCGTTAGCACGTACATAGCATATAGATTTCGGGGTCCCTCAACTGGACAATGGACACCTTGAGGGTGGGGTTTATATCTTCCTATCCTGGAGAAAGGCACTCTCACGTACAACATGTGTTTTCAGCGGGGGGGTGGTGGGGTAGGGGGGTGGGTGGGAAAATTGCCCACGCTACATTCTGCCCTTCTCCTGTTTCTTTCTCGTCTTTTTGCCTGATAGTGGATGTGATGCTTCGAGGCACGGCAGCCATTTTGTGACCATGTGGCAAGAAACAAGAAGGGGAGGCAAATACTGTGTGCACGGATGGCTTCAAGCTCTCCCCCAAACCCCCACTGGTCCTAGCTGGGTTTTCTGTGACTTGTGGCCAAATGTGTTCCTGACAGAGACCCGGGGAGGGGAAGCAGTCTGTACAATGGTTAGCACTGTGGCTCAGGAGTCAGACTGCCTGGGTTTAAATCTTGCCTCTGCCTGCACTAGCTGTGTGTCCTTATTCACCTCATCTCAAAAGTGGGGAAAACGAAAGTGCCTGTCCCGTAGGGCTGTTGTGGGGAGGTCTTGGAGAGCTGCCTGCGGACATGTGCGTGAGGTCCGTGCACTGCACGAGCGTCAACATCCTGGAGTGATCTCGCACGACAGTTCTGTGAACCGTCCCCCTGGGGGAGACAGCTGGAGGGTTTGTGGGGTATCTCTGTATTCTTACAGCTGCGTAAACCATCTGCTTTTCCTTCGGGGATTCACACCCGCCACCTGCTCAGACCCTATGACTTGAGGGCTCCAGAACCAGACCCTGTCTGTGCCTGCAACACGCTCTCAGTGCACGCCCTGGCCGCGGGGGCTGCCTCAGGCCCGGCACACGACCCCAGCCAGGGCCCGGGGATCTGCTAGGGCTCCTGCTGGACTCCCTCTCCCGGGGCCGCCCGAAGCTCAGAGACGCCTGCAGCTGCTGGGGTGGCTTGTCCACGGGAAGAGAGAGCCTCCCTGGGAGCGAGCAAGCACCGGGGAGGGGACAGTCGGACAGTGGCCAGCAGGGCTCCGGCCGGTCCCACCCTGGACACAGTATCTCGGCATCTGAGGCTGCTGCCCGTCTCTGGACTCTGCAGTTAGATGAGCCGGTGAATCCCCTTCCAGGGGGGCCTCTGAGGTGGGCTTTGGATACCCAGAGATCTAACAGCTGTGATCAGAGCAGAAGACCCTCTTGACCTCAGACCACGATAAGCACTGCTCCAGCCTGCAGGACGGGCCATCCCAAGACCTCCACGCCCTCCCAGCCTGTCTGACCCAGCGATTCCAGGGAGCATTTCATGAATCGAGGGGGCGCCCGGGCTGGGGAAAGAACGCGGGGTGAACGTGGGGCCCGGCTGGGACCCTGGTCCGGAGTCAGCTTGCTAACGTCCTCAAGTGAACTACCCAAACCTTAAAAGGTTTTTACCTAGCTGAGTCAATATTTCATACATTCTTCCGTTTGTTTTCCCTGGCACGTACACCTGAAGCCCTTCATTAGCCCATCACGGCAGAGAATCGTGACGAATTTCCAGTGGTGGTTTTCCTTACCCCACAAAGGCACCGTGGGAAAACTGCCTGTTACCGTGATTCCCTGACGTAAGGGGAGGCATCGCAGAGGCCATTTCCAAGTTCCGCCCGCCTCGGCGATGCGACGGCTTTGTTTGGTGTCAGCCTGCCCTTGACCAGGCGCGTGAGGGCGTCAAGCTGGTCCTTCGCATCGCGGCACCGATGCTCCGCCCCGGGCTTCGCTCTGGGACGTGGTGTCCCCGCTCCCCTCTGAGGGCTGTTCTGCGGTCAGGGACGGACGCTGGGTCCCCCAGGGACTCTGAAAGTCAGCCAACACCTCGTGTAGACAGACTGAGAGGCACGGGAGTGGCCAAAGAGGACCAGTCTTGGGATCCACACCGGCCTCCGGTCTTCCCGGCCACGCTTGGCACGCCACGTGGCCCCGAGGGGCTGGGCTGATGGAGGGGCCGCTCCAGTCTCCAGGCTTAAAGGCTTATTGCCCGTTTGTTATCCTAATGGGTAAAGCCGGTCACACATTTGGGAAGACTGTCTCTATCGATTTAAAAGAAGGCACGGGAGGTTTGAGCTGTGATATCCGGGCACCTTTACAGAGCGTTCTGGGTCTTGGGGCGAGAGGCCCACCGTGTCTGTGGTAACGAGAAAGCCCCCCAGCCCGGCACCCAGTCCCCTGCCTCCGGCTGCATAAGGAGCTGGCGGCTGGCGGCTTTCGTCCGGTCTCTGGCTGCTTGGAGCTGATGTGCCCGTCGGCCGCCTTCCCCTGCCTCTCCAGGGACTGTCCCCTGCCTCTCCAGGGGAGGAGCCGCCCCGGGTGCCGGCAGAAATGACGTCACACCCCGTCCCCTTCACTGACACCAGGCTGGTCTGCGTCTTGAGGTTCTGAGACAATCAATCGAAAATGGCATTCGCCTTGTGGAAACAGCAGCCCCGGGAGACGGAGCTGCGACAACGTCCTCGGGCGGGGAAGGGATGATAAATGCTCGCCCTCGCCGCCCCGTGGTGGCATGCCACCGGCCCCTCCCGGGAGGCCGCCTCCGCTCCGGGCTCCTTGTGCCCGGGCTTCCGCTTGCCCAGGGCCAGGGGCCCCGGAAGGGCCCGGAAGCCCTCCCGGGACGGGGCGTCGCCCACTAACTTACAGACGCCAGTCACGCTGAAGTTCAGATCGGCAAGGCGGCCTCTGGCCCTGGAAGCATGTTCCGACGTTGCGTGGGGCACACGCGTGACAATGGCTACCCTCACACGCAGCTGGGCGTCCTGTGTTTTCGTGGCTACTCCCGGCTCAGCTCCACCCGCCCTGACCCCGCAGGCAGGTGTCCCGGGGACGACACTCCATCCTCGGAGGAGGCAGCGGTTTAGGGCCCCGCCTCTCAAACTTGGGCCTGCGCACAAACCACCGGGGGTTGGGGGGTGGGGCATCGTGCCGAGACTCCAGGCCCCACCTGCAGAGCCTGAATCAGGGGTGCGTGCTGAGAGGTTCTGCATTGCCAGCGTGTTCCCAGCGATGCCGCTGGTCCCCAGGCAAGGTTCCGGAGTCGGCTGGGGATTCCGGCCCGCTACGCTCAGGAGGGCTGCTCGCTTCACCTCCTCGGACCCTGAGCCGTGTCTTTGCTAAAGGGGAGAAGGAGGGCACCCGCTTCTTGGGGGATGCGGATCCAGAGACATATCACATGCTTCGCCAGGGGCCCGGCCCATGATGAAGTCAACATCATTGACGCCAAACTGAAGTCTGTGGGAAGACTGGCTCTTGGGTCAACTCTGAGGGGTGCTGGGCCTCGGGCATGCAACTCTCGGGGCTGGGGGCGTCTGGCCTTCTCGTGGGTTTCCCACGGGGCTTGGAATAAAATGCAAAGTGTGGCGTGGGAGACCTCGAATGGCAGGTCTCCTCTCTGAGCTCGCCTCCTGCGCCGGGACCTTTGCCCGTGCCTTTTCCCTCCCCAGGCCCCCTTTGCCCACACACAGACCGCAGACCTCCTGTCCAGGCGGCTCCTGCTCCGGCTTCAGCTCTCAGCCTATAAGTCACCTCCACAGAGGGGCCCTCCCTGATCTGCAGCCACCTCCAGGACTCTCAGCGCCCCATGGCTTCCTTCTGAGCCTTATCATCAGTGCAATGGCCATATTCACCTGTGGTAGCCTGTCTTGTCTGCACCCCTCTCTGGACCGCTCCCAGACACGCTGTGGGACACGCAGGAGGTGATAAATGGACGCATCAGCAGAAGGGTCCCGTGGGGGCCGCACGGCCTCCCCGGAGCGCGGGGCCTCCTTGCCCACTGGCTCCTGCTGGCCCGCCGGTCGTCAGGGGCTGGGGGCTCACCTGGCTTGGAGCCTTCGTCCACAGAGCCGTTGTAGACCTGGTTGACGAACTCGGGACGGTTGTCATTCATGTCGATGACGTAGATGTACAGGTCGATGGGGTTCTCCACCTTGTTGCCGTTCATGTCCACGGCGTGGGCTCTGAGCTGGAAAGCAACACAGACACCGTCAGCCGTGGGGAACTGCCGGGAGCAGGTTCCCGCAGGCCCTCGGCAGCAGGCCGGGGGTGATGTGAGGGCCTGGGCCCCTCAAGGGAGAGTCTAGGCAGGGGTGTGCAATTGGGACACGTCATGAAACTTCTCTGAGCCTCGGCTCTCGCCTCCGTGGAAACGGGGAAGGGTTGTCAGGAACCCTTAGTTTTTGGATGAGTTCATTCATTCACTCACCGTTCACTCATTAATTTATTCACTCAACCAGTATCTGTCACGGGACTCTGTGCACCAGGCACGGGCTGGACCCGAGATTATTGCCCAGTGGAATAGACGTGGCCCAGCCCTGGGGCTTCTCATCTGGAAGGGAGAGGGACGTCAAGAAGGAAGAGAAGACAGGTAACTTGGGTGTACTGTTAGCGGCTGGCTGGGGTTGGGAGGAGGCCAGGCAGGCTTCCCAGAGGAGGTGATGTTGGAGCTGAGGCCTGACGAAGGAGATGGAGAGGAGAGCAAGGGTGGAGGTCCCCATGGGGGTCCCAGAGTGGCTGAGGCCAGCCGAGGGGGCCGGAGAGGGGCCGTGTGGGGCCTGGGATGTGGGGGAGAACCGGGTCTGCCCAAGGTCTCTCTTCACCAAGGCTCTGAGTGTCACATGTGTCTCTGTGGAAACCGCATCACCCTGCAAGCTGGACACGTCGGACCCCACCATCTTTGCAACAGGACGGCACCAGGCCAAGGGCGTGAGAAGAGCCGTGCTGGAAGCCTGTTGGAGTGTGTGGGGGGTGTCCCCGAGCTGGGCGGGGGGCACACGATCCTCTCCATGGCCTCCTTGGGGCCCCACGCCAGCTTCTGGGAAGGAGGACGCTGTGTGCATTCCACACCTGCCCCACGGAGGCTCGGTTCATCGCGACGGCCCCGAGTGGAATTTCACCCTTGAAGTGTTTAAGGAGCCGGGCGGTGGCCGCAGCCTCTGGGGCGGATGTGAGTCCCCAGCACCCTGGTTAAGGGACGTGAAGCCCCCTTGCCGTGTTAGCCCCCCGCCGGCCCATCCTGCTGCGGAAGCTCTGGGCGGCAGCCAGGTGACCCTCCGCCTCGTCGAACGCGGCCCTGAGCAGCGCACGGGGTCAAGGGTCAGGAAGCCTCTGGACAAGGTAATCCTGAGCTCCGGTTAATGCTGGCATCTCTCAACAGAAGTGGCGGTGCCCGCTTTGGCGCGGGCCTGTAGCAGAAGCGGCCCCCGGCTGTGAGGCCCAGGGTCCTCCTGGTCTCCCCCCATCCCGCCCCCCCAAATGTCCGTCGCATCGCTAGCTTCTGCGGGGGTGTCCGAGGCCCCCTCACCGCTCAGGGGGCCTGTCCTCCTGCGGAGACAGGGAAGCCGTCCGCGCCTTCGGCGACCTGCAACCCCAAGCGTCTCGTCTCGCGTGGAGGGAAGATCCCGCTCCTGCGATGTCGTGTGTGGGACGTGTGTCTCTTCTCGCCATGGGAGGGGGACAGGGAGACGACAACTTGTGAGCTTGGTCTCAGGCCCCAGAGGGGACGGGACGAGGGCGGTGGGTACGATGGGCGCCTGCTGCCTCTCCGGGGCTCGCGCTGCGTCTCCCGCTGGAGCACGGACCACGGAGCACCCCACGTGGGCCCTGAAGTCGCCTGCGGGTGGGCGCTGGGGTGGCACTGGCCGCGCGCCTGCTCAGGTCCGGGCAGAGCCCCAGGAGCCCCACACGGGTCACTCACGCCTCGGGTTTCACAAGAACCCGAGAGACTGCCTGGTCCCGACCGCTAGTTTACGGACGGGGAAAGCGAGGCTCAGGAAGATGGCGGTAGTGGCGGGACTCAGCAGTGGGTCTTACGTGCGGAGCCCTCGAAGGAATCTTCTGGAGAACCATCTTGCAAAGCAAACACGACCCCTCTTCGTTTCGTGCGTTTGAACGCTCGCGTCAGTGACCCGTGGCCACGGACGATCAGCCGGCTCTCAGGTGGGAGGTGTGGCCGAAGGTGCCCGAGGATGGGGCGTGTGGATCCCCAGCTGAGGGAGCGATGGCAGGTCGCCCCCTCGACGGGGCGACGTTTTGTGGCACGGCTGACCGCTACGCAGGGACGCCGTCTGGGCGGGACGCGGTGGCCTCGTGGCTCTGGGATCACGGTGCTTCCCTGGCGGGTGGCCTCAAGGGAGCCGGACGCTAGACAGCGGGATAACGTGCACAGCTTGAAAGTGGAGGGGGCCACGCGCCGAGGGATGCAGGGGCCTTTAGGGGGCGAGAGGGGCCCCGGCTGCCAGCCAGAAGGAAGTGGGGACCTGGGCCCGGCACGGCCTGAACGGGCAGGAAGCAGACACTTGTAGGCCGGCTTCACCTCGACCTGCACCTGGTGAGACCCTGGGGCACAGCTGCCAACTTCTGACCTCCAGAGTGTGAGCCAGGAAGCGGGTGTTATTTGAAGCCACCGAGTTTGTGCTCGTGCTGGGGGGCACCCCGTAAGGTAGGAGTGCCGGGAGGGGCTCGTGCTGGAGCCTTATGGGGGTGTGAGGGCCGCCAGGACCCTGACCTCGGGGGGGACAGCAGAGGGCTTCACGCGGTGGGACAGAGAGTTGAAAAACGGGATGTGAGGGTTCAGTCCAGAATTTGGCAAATGGATCTGGCCGCCCTCCGGTCCGGGTCCCATTGTCTCCGGCCCACTTGTCACCCCGCAGGGAGCAGGGCTGACACTGCTGGAGGTGGCTGCCAGGGGTGGCCCTGGGAGCCCCAGGGCGAGGGCCCACATTGCCCACTTGTGAGATGGGGTCTGAGGAGACTGAAGTCAGCAGCCCCGTGGGGCACATTTCCTAGTTGATGACGAGCGGGAAACAATCATTTCTCCGTCTCCCAAGACGGGACGTCAGGGCCGTGGCCGGAGACGGAAGAGAATATGGGCAAAGTGTCTGGAGGCGAGTGAGTCACCCAGAGACCCGGACACCGAGCCGAGTGTGTGGGGACGGGTGGATGGTCTCCCCCCAGAGTTGCCGGCTTCCTCTCAGCCGGCTTCGGAGAGGAGGGGGTGTGGCGTGGCCTGCCTGCAGGTGTCCTTGGAAAGGACCAAGGGCCCTCGGGGGCATCTCCGCTTCCTCTCGCCCAGCAGCCATCCCGGGGAGCCCAGAATTCCAGGGCTGACTTTGGTGTGAGCTGCAGGGGAGAAACAGTGAACTGGAAACACCAAGAGCGGGTCTTCATTTTGAGCTCAAGGTTTCCAACGTAATTAAAATAAAATGCAAGGGAGAGCCTCCCCGCACGGCGTGTGTTCTCCCAGGAGCGGCTGTGCAGTCGGCAGGCGCTGGGGCCCGCGTCCTCCGGAGCGGGCTTGGCGGACAGCCCCCGGCACAGTCCCCAAGCCCCGCCCACTGCACCTGCTGGCCGCGCCGTGGTGAGAATCTGAGAGAGAGAGATGCGAGCTGTGCCCACGTTTGCATCTGCGGGGCTGGGGCTCTGCTGCTGGCAGGTCGCGCCCCCCCCCCCCGTCTCTCCCTCTCCCCCTTGTCTCTCTATTTCTGTGTCTCTGTTTCTCCCTCTTGCTCTGTCTCTGGGTCTAGCTGCGTTGTCGGCACGTGAGGGGAGCTGACTCTCCATCTCGAGCCGGGCCACAGATGTGTGTGGACGGCCTGTGCAGCCCGTGGGGGAGTCCACGGGTGCGTGAAGGGGATGCGTCTCGGGCGGCATGGCTGCATGAGTGCCCGTGCTGGCCGAGTGTCGGTTGGCGCTGAGGACCTGCCGCGTAGCGAGCGGTGCACCAAGAACTCGAGAGGAGGTCCCAGGCCGTCGTCGGTCCACCTCCTTTCCCAGATCCCGCCGTCCCAGGGCCCAGCCTGGGGTGTCCACGTGGGGGAGTGCGTGGGCGAAGGTGCTGGCAACACTCGGCCGTGGGAGAAACACAGGTCAACGCGCAGGGGGCAGCTTGCACTGGGGCTGACAGGGCTTGGGAGGCCCAGACAACGACAGGCTGTGAGACCCACCCCTCACAAGCCTCAGTCTCCGTGAAATGGCCTCGCCGTCGATCCCACCTCAGACAGGACCCCAAGCCTGGAGGCTGGCCACGCGGGGTGGGCTCCGTGGCCTGAGACCACGCAGCCTACGGGCCCCGAGCTCAGGAGGACCCACGTGTGGCTGAACGCCCTGCCGTCACTGTCTTGAAATCCTTAGTCCAGATGAGGGTCCCCCATTTCGTTCTACACTGGGACCCGGGATGTGTGGCCATCCTGGACGTCAGAGCTGAGCAGGACCTTGCCCGGGGTGGCCCCTCCCCACCAGGCCAGCCAGGGCTGTGGTCACAGAGCAGCCGTGGGGGGCAGCCGGTCCAGGGCCTATGACAAAGGCTTTCTTTCAGCGGTCTGGACGGTCCGTAAGAAACAGCCAGAGAAGACACCTGCGCTGGGGACAGCAGGGGTCGCTGGAGCCCCAAGGAAGGCAGGAGAGGTGCCCCACAGGGAGCTCCCCCTCCCCAAACCACGAAGCAACCGCGGCCGATGGCTGCAGTACAGAGAGGAGTGACGTTTCAGGGGACACTGAAGAGCCACATGGCGCCAGCCCTACGGTCAGGAGAGGGGTCGCCTGGGGCCAACCCTACCGTCAGGCCTCAAGAGAAGGGTCTGGCACCTCAGGCCCGGGGGAGGGGCTTTCTCTAAGCCAATCTGTCTAATCTTGAAGGAGGTCAGCATGATCACCAGCACGTGGCCTCTTTGTGGGGCTGTTTGGAGACAAAGCTCTCCCATGTCGGCCGAGGCCCTGGATGTCATTGGCCAATCCGGGACGAGGGCCGCAGGGCAGAGGGACACCTGACCAGGTGGGCGACGTAGCGAGCAAGCAGCAACCCCCTGCCTTCTCTTCTCACTCACTGGGAACGCTCACCGGTCCCCGACCACTGGCTGCACATCCCTTTAGACTCGGGGGCACAGACGCCCGGAACAGCGCATTCAGAAGGGGCATGTGCCTCTGGGAGGGTGGACAGACCACAAGGGAGGAGGGAGGGGGGCAGGGAGGAGGGGTGGCGCATCCCCAGCGTCCGGCCCCCGCTGCGTGTTGGGTGTGGGAACAGCCACGCCTTGCTTTTACCAGGGCCTCGGGGGAGCCCCCTGCAAGCCCCTCCCGGGGGAAGGCACCCCTGAAACGGCCTGCCCAGACGCCAGCAGCAAAATGGGCCCGAGTGTCAGCGGCCACCTGCTTCAGGGCTTTCAAGTCTGTGTTTCTGCCTCCACATTCCCTAGCCCCGGGGACGGAATGACCGGTCTGGCTCAGAAAAGATGTAGTGATTTTCTTTGTACCTGCTTCTTCTCCCTGACCCTGGCCCCCACCGTCCGAGGGGCAGTCAGGATGACACCCGGATGCCCATGCCCGGTGGCATCTCCGGGCAGGACACACCCACTCCGTCAAGACCTGTGGTCTGATTGCTGAAGAATCTGGGCACGTGGTCTTTCTCAGGGGTTTCAGGCCAAAAGGCTTTGATGCCTTTTAATCCCAGTGGTATAAGCTCCCCCTGCCCGGGGCCATGTTTGTTCATGTTATCACTGTAGGCCCACTGTCAACCACAAGGCCTAACATGTACTAGGCACTTGAGAACTGTTCCCTGGATGGGTAGATGGATGGATGGAACATATGTATATATGGATGGATGGATGGATGGATGGATCAGTGGATGGTGGGTGGCTGAGTGGGTGTGTAGATGGATGGATGAGTAGATGGATGGATGGATGGATGGGTGGATGGACACATGGGTGGATGGATGGATGGATGGATGGATGGATGGGAGATGAAGTGGTGTACCCAAAGGGAAGAGTCTGGAAGCATGAGCCAAGGTTTCTCTTGGAAGCTTCTCTGAAGAGGGATGTCTGGGTCTAGTGAACTGGGGATTTCTGGAGCCGGGAGCCTGACTTTGATTCCACACCTGTCTCTACTCATGGGCGAAGACCCATGAGTAGAGAGGAACCTTCTCTTCCATGTTGACTAGCTCTGTGAAGCTGAACCCACCTGGGACTTGGGCAGCCAGTCTGAGACCGTGGCTAAGAAGGATGGACCAACCTCCCAACCTGGCTTCCCCAGGTCCAGTCAGCCTCGCACCCTACTTCTCATGCGGCGTCAGGGGTCCCTCGGGGGAGGCCACCATTGTCAATGACAGAGTTAACCTCTCCCACCAATTCCTTCTCTCTGCAAGTGGTTCCTGTGCATCCCCTGAGGGCCAGGCTCTGTTTTCGGGCCTGGCGACGTGGTGTGGATAGCTTGATGGCTCTTTGCCACGTGGAGCCTTCCTGCTAGTGCCAGGAGGTGGACAGTGGGCCCCAAGCAGATAACCAGAGAGTGGCGGCGGTGTTTCGCCATATTCGGCACTGGGGGCTGAAGCCAAGTGAAATCTGGGCTGATTACGTCCACATCAGGGCAAAAGGCTGCGAATACGATGCTCTCCAACGATGGTCTTCATTTCCAAGTTACAAGCGAGGACCTGGACATTCGGACATCGTGATGACAACTACAATGTGCACACCGGCCGTATCGTGCGCGGGGCTCTGTTCTCCGGGCTTCACACATGTGAACCCTGCATCCTCCCACCTGGTGAGGGGCCCGGGGTCCTCACCTCTGCCTCCAGCTCACACTGCCTCCAGCTGGTGCAAACCTGCATCTTGCAGGTGAGGAGGGGGTCCGGACGGGGGACTGGCCATTAGGGTGGAGGCCACGAGACGCTGCTGCTTTCACCTGAGCTCCGGGGTCCCTCCCCTGAGCTACCACGTCAGGGAGGCCAAGCAGGAGAGGAGCCAACAGCCCCCAGAAGCCCGAGCCCTGCAACGTTTGTGGTCACGTCCGTTTCCCCTCTGCGTGCCCCGCTCCGAGGTGGCACCAGCACAGCACTCATCCCGGACCCGCTGCCGGCTCTCAGAGAAGCAGGTGTGTTATTCTAGGGCTGGACAGGATGGAACTGCTCACAGAGGCGCTCCAGAAAAAGGGCCCCACGGTGCCCAGCAGCCACGTGTCCCCTCCCTCCACCAGAACTAATGAGCTCCTGGGAGCACACGTGGATCCAGAGCTTCTACACCAGGGGTCCTTCCAAGGTGGTCCCAGACCTTCCTGTCTTCCCCTGGGAATGTGGCAGAGGTGTCCACCCCGGGCCCGCTGAATGAGAAACCCCAGGGTGGTGCCCAGCGCCGTGGGCTTTACACAGCCCTGCGGGCAATTCCAGCACAGGCTCAGGCTGACAGTCTCCTTCCCAAGTTAGGAACCCAAGGCCCGAGGTACTCACGTGGTAGGAGGCTCGCTCCTCCCGGTCCATGGGCCTAGTGACATACATGCGTCCAGACATGGAGTCGATGCTGAAGACCTCCATGGGGGGCTGGTCGGCACCCACCCCCGTGATGCTGTACCGGATGGGGATGTCGTTGTCTTTGTCGGACCGGATCTGGAAACAGGAGCAAAAGCAGAGGAGAGTCAGCCTGCGGCGGGGGGCAGGGGCCACGCTTCTTAAACGTCCATTCATCCCACCCCTGATTTGCTTGCACTTGGCCAACTCGGGGAACATCAGGTATCCACTCTGGGAACTGGGAGGGCAGCCAGTGATGAGGGGGTCATGGAGTGCCACCAACCACACGTCCGGTGGCCCAGCAGGGGACGGGGAAAGACGAGACCACGGAGCAGCCGCTACAGAGTCCAGAGGGGAGAAAGGCTGGGACACAGCACACACACCTGCTACGTGTTCGTCCGTGTCCCAATATCTTGCGCCTTTGACGGAGGCACCAGAGAACAGGGTCCGGTCCCTGAAGGTGGGAGGCTGTGAGGATGGGTCGGGGCAGAGAGGACCCGCAACCGGGAGGTAGACACAGATTTCACACTGAGGACTGTTGTCACAATGGCTATAGGCTACATGTGAACGTAAAAGTATTTTCACGGAGAACTGTGAACTCTTTCATTTAGAGGAAGCAAAAGCTCTTGTAATGGTAAGGGGCACCTGACGGGAACGGGGGTGCCCGCTGGAAGGTAACTGGTTTCTCTGAGCCCCCGAGACTGAAAAGGTATAATTGATAAGGTCAAAGTAACAGATTGGAATTCAACTTTGAATACAGTTGACTCTTGACCACGGGGTTGAACTGCGCTGGTCCATTTATATAGGGAATTCTTTTGGATAAATACAGTACAGGACTGTAGACGTATTTTCTGTTCCTATGGTTTTCCTAATAACGTTGTCTTTTCTCTGGCTTACTTTATTGTAAGCACACGGCACATAATACACTCAACATAGAAAATATGTGTTAATGGACTGTATGTTGTTGGTGAGGCTGCTGGTGGACGGTAGGCTATGAGTAGTTAAGTTTTTGGAGGTCAAGTTATATGTGGATTCCAGGCGGTGCTGGGGGTGGGTGCTCCAATAACCCTTCATCGTTCACGGGTCCCCAGTATACCTTTACAAAATGCAGTTTTTTCCCTGTAAATCAAAGCTCAGGGATCATAACAACATTTTATAACAAAACGGACACAATGGAAACCTCCAGTTCTACAGAGCAGGGTCGGCTTTGTTGCAAGACTGCAAATAAAATTCATTGCAGAAAAAA